AAAGTCCTGAGGCAAGAATGCCTCCACCCTCCCCGCCCCCCCCCCTCCAACCACCCACCCAGAAGTGAGCTTCCAAGTCCTGCCTTGAAAGGGATGTTTTATTTGCCGAGACAAGTGTCGAAGTGTCAGGTGTAGGATACACAAAAACAGGGATATGATGACGTCTGCCTCTGGACTCCTTGGAGCAGGCCTGAGGAACAAGGTATATTGGAAAAGCCATCTCCCTTTGGCTAGCCTGGACTGTGTAATTCTGTGCAGTCACATGGTGGTTCCTACCACGAGCAAGCCAGGTGACATGGGAAGGGAGGCCAGGTGGCAGCACCCACTTTCCATTCTGGACAGCGAAACTTGCTCATTTAAAACAAACCGACTGAAAGGGACCAAAGAGGCAAAGCCAAATACACTGTACATACCAACTGCATCCTGGAATGAAAGATTCAGTTGCAATGGTCTTTAGTCAATGAGCAAGTTTAGACACGAGCTGTGTATGAAGTAAATGTAGGAAGGCTCAGGGTTTGTTTTTGTGGAGCTGGGGATTGAGCATGACACACTGTCACATGCCGGGCATGCACTCTGCTGCAATGAACCCCCAGCTTCTGGCTAATATTCTTGAAGTGACAATGTTAGTGTGATTGCCAGAGGGCTTTGAGCTTAGGGCTCTGTGTGAGGTTTTTAGGGGTGAGGTGACAGGGCAGCTGCAGTTTGCTATATATAGTTAACAATAATAAAAATTGGTAGAGAAGGGCTGGCAGAGTGGTTCAAGTGGTAGAGCGCCTGCCTAGGCAGGGTGAGGCCCTGAGTTCAACCCCCAGTACAGCAAAAAAAAAAAAAAAAAAAAAAAAGACTAGTAGAGAAAAGGGTAAAGGTAGTGAAATGTCACCCACTAAGTACAAACCACTGGGTGACCACTGTACAGCTTGCAACTTTTCAACAGCTTTTACCATCCTCAAATTGAAAAGTTGGGAAAAAGAGGAAAAAAGGCCATGAGTGCTCTCTTGGAGCACTTGTGTGGGCCAGGTGCCACTATATGCTCAGTGTTTCTCTGGGCCCTCTCAGTCCCTTCCTGCAGCAGGTCAGTTCACTGCCCTCCTTCTGCAAGTGAACCAATGGCAGAGTGGATTCTAACCCAGGCTGGACTGCAGATCAAAAGCTCTATCACTGCTCCACAAGGCCTCTCCTAGCTATTGTGATTGTTAATGTTAAGCACATTGGGAGAAAACGCTACATGGTCCAAAAGGAGGAGTGGCTAAATAACCTGGCTCCAGCCACTCACGCAGCATCATGCAGCAAGGCAGAAGACAGTCTGTGCTGTCCTCATCTTTGTTCAACAGTTTATATAAGATGCACACATATTCTTACCCCTGGAGCTACTGGGATTTGAACTCAGGGCCCAGTGCTTGCTAACCTGAGTGGCTGGGATGGCAGGTGCACCAGCCAGCTCTTGACTGGCTGAGACGGCACTGACTTTTGCTCTGTCTGGTCTTGAACTCCAGTCCTCCAAATCTCTGCCTCCAAGTAGCTGGGATCACAGGTGTGAGCCACCACGCCCAGTCTCAGGTATAAATTTGGTTAATTAAATAAACATGTATTTTAAAGGAATATTTTCACAAGGCATTTAGCGACAGAGGAACATGTGTCATTAAAATGAAGGCACAATAGCCCTGTGCATGGGCAGTGGAAGTCAGAGGTGTGGTCTGCACCTGTAGGGCAAGGAGGGAGCACGAAGTGGTTCTCCAGTAGTGGGATCATCTCTGAAGCAGGACAGCCTGAGGAGGGGAGTGAGGGGGCAGCGAAAATGAAGTGGAGGGGACAGAATCAAGAGATGGAGAAGCACATCTGACAGACTTGGGCCTTGATGAGTCAGACACCCCTGAAGTGGCAGCACTTTAACACCGCAGCCCACTGGGGCAGGGTGAGCAGCATGCAGAGATGCTGGTTGCTTGTGCTGTGTGGAGAGATGGAGAAGCAGGAGGCAAGGCAGGCCAGCCCACAAGGTGCCTGGCTACAGAGCTCGTGAGGCACACCTAGTCCCCGGTCCCACTGCAGCGAGCTACACAGGAGCCCATTCACACAGGCTGCCATGACGAGGGTGAGCAGAACACCTGCAGAGCACTGTGGCACACACAGAGGGGCCCAAAAGCAATGGTAAGCACTATCCAGGCAAGAGCCACCGCTGGGTGTGTACTTGTGGGTAAACATCCAAGGAGGGACCTGCTACTCATGGTGTCAAAGCAGCTCCCTACAAGTGCTCACCAAGGCCACAGGGAGACAGATGAGACCGGCAGATAGCCCTCACCAAGTGACCAAAGTAAACACCTCTAGTGATGGGACAGGTGACATCACATGCCTCATAACTAACACACTGAGAAGGATGAAGCATTGCTGACACACAGCTCCTTCTGAATAGGAGAACCAAATCTAATCATGAGCAAACAGGAAAGTGTGTGTTTGTGTGTCTGGGGTGGAGCTGGGAGGCACCAAGATGAGGAACTGCCCACAAAAACACCCTACTCTGTGTTCTTGAAACTATCAAGGTCAGAACAATCATACCAGTGTTCTAGATGACAGGAGGTTTGACATGTGGTCTGGGATTGGGTTCTGGAGCAAGAATGGTTTTTGTATGTTGCTAGAAAGGATACTCCTGGTGAGATAGGAAGTGTGTATAGCTTAAATCACAAATGGACTAGTCTCAGACCAATGCTCCTTTCTAACTGTGCTTCTGCACACAATTGGGTAGGATGATAGCGCTTTCAGGATATATCCTCTGAAGTGTTTAGGAGGAAAGGTACATTAGGACCTGCAATCTTGAACATTTAAATACAGAAAGGAAAAAATATCCATCTCTAGAGAGAAAGAATGATGAAGCAAATGTAAATATTAACATTTAGGAGGTGGGCACTGTGGCTCATACCTGTAATCCTAGCTAATTGGGAGGCTGAGATCGGGAGGATCACAGTTCAAGGCCAGTCAGGACAAACTGTTCACAAGACCCCCATCTCCAAAATAACCAAAGCAAAATGTGCTGGAAATGTGGCTCAAGCAGTAGAGTGCCTGCTTTGAAAGTGTGAAACCCTGAGTTTAAAGCCCAGTCCCACCAAAAAGCAACAACAATAACAACAACAAAAGAAAACCATTTAGGGAAGCTGAGAATTTTTTCTTCTTCTCCTTCAGAAGAAGGGGTTTGAACTCAGGACCTTCATCTTGAGCCACTCCACCAGCCCTTTTTGTGTGATGGGTTTTTCTGAGATAGTGTCTCTCAAACTATTTGGCTTCGAACTGCAATCCTCCTGATCTCTGCCTCCTGAGTAGCTAGGATTGACAGGTAGGAGCCACTGGTGTCTGGCTTCGAACTTTTTAAAAATTATTTTATTTTGAATTATCATACATTAATAATATGAGGGAATTTTATTGTCAGAATTCCACACACGAAGCTAGGAATTTTTATAATTTAGAATTTGTTACAACCACCAATTTTCCTAACTTCCCTGAACCTGGACTTGCTTCAAAATAAAAAGTGAAAGAAAACAAGGTGCCCTACCCCCAAAGAAAATGACCCAATCTCTCTGAAGCAAACAAGGAGGCTTCAGCTTTTCAACTTGCTTCCTGCAGATTTTCCTTGCCTGTGAGGTACCAGGAAGGAGCTGAAGCGGTGTGGAAAGATGGACACTGAGAGGTGGCTTGGGATCAGGAGGATTGGGTAAGTCTGCAGATGTGCCAGGATGATGCAGAGTGCTTGCTGAGACTCACCCTCAGGTGTTGCTGAAAAACCCTTGGAAGAACTTCAAAGTGTTGGGTGGACTTCAACTTCATATCCTAAGTATATTAACACTGTCATTGAGCTTCTAGGCTGCTGCTGTCCATACCATAATTGCCCGGCCATGAGAAAGAACACAGAGGAAGGCTAGTGTAAGCCTAGATTCCTGAGCTCAGTCACTAATGCTCAGGAACACGCATTAGTATGTGCCTGTAACACCACCTTCTCCCCAAAGATTGGCTTTGAAAGCAGCCAGGAGAGAAGTCCAGGGAAATGGTGTGAAATGGGAAGGCCAAAGAGACAGTGGGAGCTTGAAGTGAATAAAAACATGGTTTTAACACAGGAAAATTCTGTCATTTCAAGAACATTGCATCCAGTTGGAGCTGTAGCTCAGCTGTAAAGCCCTTGCCTTGTGTGCAAAGGCCCTGGCCACACACTAAAACAAACAAAAATGAACAGTGTAGAACATTTTAAGACATTCTACTTTTATAATTGTCTCATGTTGTCAGTATGGCTGAAATTCAGCTGCCTGACCAAGCACCCTGCTATCTTGCCTCAGAAAAAACATCCTGTCAGTATCTGAGTCTCAGGTACCTGAACACCAGTGCCAGAGGCTGTAGCAGGCACAAGTACTCATTCACCTTATTAAATGAGTTATGTGTCCGGTACACCGTGGACAGCACCACAACAAACCAACTCTTTCCCTGCCCCCAGGCAGCTGCAGATCCACAGTGGACACGGGCAGCCCCACACTGACAGCAGTGCTGCATGCGTGGCTGGGTGCAGACCTGGAACAAGAGGTGACAAACCTGCCAGGTGCTGGTGGCTCACACTTGTAATCCTAGCTACTCAGGAGGCAGAGATCAGGAGGATCGAGATTCGAAGCCAGTCTGGGCAAATAGTTCACGAGACCCTATCTCAAAAACCTCCCCACAAAAAAAGGACTGGTAGAGTGGCTCAAGGTGTAGGCCCTGAGTTCAAACCCCAGTACTGCAAAAAAGAAGGGACAAACCTGCCACACCTGTGGTCCTGAGGACAGATCTGGTCCAGCACACCTGATGTCTAGTGAGTGCCACACGGCAACTTCACAAATGCAAAAATGGAGGCACCATAAGTCTGACTGCTGTCAGATCACCAGCCTCCTTCTCTGAGAGCATCTCACACTGAACAATCACAGCTTCCAGAAACTTCCCTCAAGTTTCCTTCAGTCAGTAAAAGGGACAATCTGCTGTGAGGTAACTCTTACCTGTGGCTTCAATGTACTCAATGCATCGTTCAATAAAGATGGGGATGGGCTTCTCTGGCGTCACGACAGTTGTTAAAGGCACCCCAAAATAGTTACTCTCCCAGGTTGCCTTCGTGATGGATGGTCGGGGTTTGGGCTTTGGTTTCTGTCCAGAAAAGAGAAAAGGAAGTACAAAAACAAAGTGAGTACCAGCATGTATGTATAAGGCTTGCAGAGAGGAATGCGCAGTGGAATGGAGACTGCTGAAAAGATTACAAGCAAGATAAAGAGACCCACTTGCTTGTCTCACAATTCTGCACATTCCGGCTTCCAAATACCACACAAGGTACCAGATAGTTGCCATGTAGTCACACCTTGAGGGGGAACTGCATTATTAGAACAAAGATGTTTATAACAAGCAGGACAATTTATTCAATAATAACAGTAAGATGACTATCTACATCCTTCATCAGGGATGCACTGGAGTAAACAGGAAGTTTTTCAACAGTCCTTAAGGAGAACAGATGTTATATACTTCAAGATGACTACAATCTTCAAGTGATAAAAGATGGATTGGGAAACAAATAATTTCCTCTTTCCAGAAAAGACGTTCAACATGCATCTTCGAGAGCTGGCAGCCCCAACGAGAATTCCCTGTGAGACGTGGGCCTTGGGGTAACTCCCAGTGGCTTCCGCATTAGCACAGGGTAAGCACAGCCACTAATTCAACAAGGTGAATTAGTGTAACATAACTGTCTATTCCCCCCTAAAGTCACCTTCCCCATGAAGTAGTGACAGTGGCAGCAGCAACAGCAACTATGTGAAAACTTACTGTGTGTCAAGGAAGTTCCAAATGCTTCCTTTTGGGGCTGGGGTTCAAGTGGCGGATCACCTGCCTAGCAAGCATTCGGTCCTAAGTTCAAACCCCAGGACTGTCTGATGTATTTCCTTTCAAGCCTCACAACACTCCATTTAACCAAGGAAAAGACTCTTGGCTAAATGACACAACCAGTAACTTGGCAGTACTTAGACTCAAACCCAAGAAGGTCTGTCTGCAAAGCCCATGACACTAAGGTGCTCTGCTGCAAAATTTGCCAGCCCTCTTATTTTGAAGTTCACATGAGGAGCACATGACCCTAAACTACAAAATGGAAATTTCCGAAAGTCAAGGGAATGGACTTGGAAATTTGACATTCTGGTAAAATATTCACTAAAAAGAAGAGAGTAACCAAACAGGATCCTGGTAGACAGCCCCAGGTGTATCTGATGATTTGGTTTCACTTTATAACAGAGCAGACTGACTTAGAAATGTGCACAGGCCACACACTAATTAGCAATCTTTACAGAAACTCACCTTCCCCTTTCCTCCTCCTGCCCATCCTCATTCCTTTTAGTGCCCTCTGTATGGGAACAACTCACTTCCTGTTTAGTCTGAGACTCTCTGAGGACTTAACATTGGGAATTAAACTGAACACTGAAGACAGAGCAAGCCTATCCGGGACTGCTGGCTGGATAGACCTCAGATGACAACCCAAAGGCAAAGAGAATCTCCTTTATATCGCCTGTCTGCTAAGTGGCTGGGAGCAAGGGCTGCGGCATCCAAGAGAACTGCATGTCCCACGAGGCCAAGGCCTGGCCCTGGCCCACTGTGATGAGTCCACTCCTGCTCAATGGTGCAACACGGTCTCTGAGGTAAACAGGAAGTCCAACTTTAGACCTTAGCAAAGGAAAAGCAACTTAGTGATGTTAGATCCACCTCCAGGAGTAACTTAACTGATCTGGACTACCCAGCACCTTCTTCTTGGGTCAAGTGTAGCCCAGGCAATTTAAGCTTTGGAACCTGGCAAGGGTGGGTCAGAATCCCAATGACAAGCAGGCTACACAGCAGTGCCCCCATCACAAGGTGATCATGAGGGTTAAATGATGTGATTCGTGGAGGTCAGTCAGTCCTGTATACATAGTAGTTACCAATAAACAGGAGCCTTATGTATGAAAAATGGATGGGCTGGGTCCTTCTGCTGTTACACGTTGTGGCAATCAGGTGACAATGAGTCAAGCAAAGCTCTCCCTGGAAACTCCCCCACGTTTAAAGGTTAACTCTAGCATTTGAGTAACTAGAGACCATCCATATGTAAACACCACCTTCCCTCACTCTGCTGCACTTCACTGCAAATGTGGTTCTTCAGGAAAACTGAGGCTTCCCAGGCTGGCAGAGTGGCCCAAGCCATAAGAGCATCTGCCTTGCAAGCATGGGGCCCTGAGTTCAAACCCCAGTGCTACCAACAAACAAACCAACCAACCCTGAGGCTTCCAAATAAATGCCTGCTAAGGGGAAAATGGAACTGAAGGGAGGTGGTGAGCAAGCAACTCCAAATCCTAGAGTAGAGGTCTAGTCAGTCTGAATCCAACTGAAACCAAAGTCCTCTGCCTCTCAGAACTTGAGCAGGATGGTGTGAGTGGGCGCTCCCAGCCAATGCCAGCTGGGAAGGTCGGCTGCCATCAACTGGGACTTTTTATGCATCAAACACAATTTTTTCACATGCATTCCCTCACTCAAATGCACACCAGTCTGCAGGTGTGGACATTAACTACCCCACCTTACAGACTGCATCCCAGGAAAATCTGCAACACCTGTGCTGGGAGCCATGCAGCTTCCTGTGGACGTTCTTGGGACAAGCAGAATGAATTTCAGGGAGACTGAGCCTGTCTATGGATAGAGAACGTCTAAAGGTAAGATGGACTCACCCATAAAATACCAGGGCACTTTAAGCTGAAACGGGAAGAGCAGCTGAGGTGCTGGAGTGGTAAAGCACCTGCCTTCCAAGTGTGAAGCCCTGAGTTCAAACTCCAGTGCCACCAAGGATAGCCAACAACTACAGCTACACAGAGAAGAGCAGAGCACTATGACAGCTATCCTCAAATGGCCACTGGGCTACCTACTGAATATGGAGCAAGCTTATTTGTATGGCTCCAAAATGCCATGTTGGGAGAGATGAGAGAGATGAAGGCTAAATGACAGCTGCTCTTATCTCTTCAAAGAGTTCAAGATCTAGTTCAACCCTTCAATTTGTGAATGTGAAAATGGAGGACAAGCGTTCGAGATACCATCAACCCCCCTTTGCTAAATGTCATGGATTCCTCACCCTCCCTCCCACACTCTCTTTTAAGACTGAAACCAACTCCAGCTTATGGAATGTCAAAATACAGCATTGAGATAGCTGAAGGCTCTCTGGGTGTCACAAAATGAGGCAAGGAACTGCTGAACAAGGAATCAAAACCTTCCTAGTAAGGAAATTAGTCTGTGATGTGTGCCAAGTGTTGGGCTAAGCTGCCAGTACAACCAACACCTCAGGCATCTGACAGATTACTGGGCACATTTCAGTGGAAAGGCCATGCTCCCGAATGGCTTGCCAGATGTCTTGTGTCCAGTCAGATGTGTGTCCCTCATCAGGGAGTCACTGGGGGCGCTCTCAGCAGCAGGTGGAGAAAGGAGAAAGTGACACCACCCAAAACCCATCTTCTTTGGGGGCTGAAGTGAAAAGGTATGCAGCCAGAGGAAGTTAAGCCCTAGAACGATCTCCACACCTGTGCCTCTAAGAGAAGAGTCCCACGGGGTCACAAATGGACTGGCGATTCCTCAGGGGTGCTAGGTGCTCCTGACAGCTATTTGGAACCCCACATCACCCTGAAAGTAAGGGTTACCAGCCCCCTTCACAGCTGAGAAGAGAGGCCCAGCTGGAGGATGCTTTGATCTATGGCTTTGCACCCTCCCCTCCACAAATGTCCCTGCCCCTGCCCCAGACACAGGGAGGAGGACCCAGCCTGAATCACCAAGAGCTGGTTTTTATGTCTGTTTTTTGATGACACTAAGTTTTGAACTCAGGGTTTCACACTTGCTAGGTAGGTACTCTATTGGTTAAGCCATGCCATCATGGCTTGTTTTTGAGAAAGGGTCTCACTTTTTGCCAAGGCTGGCCTGGACTATAATCCTCCTGTTTTACCTCCAAAGTAGCTGGGATGACAGTTGTATGCCACCATACCCAGCTACTGACTGAGATGGGGTCTTGCAAACTTGTTGCCTGGGCTGGCCTAAAGCCGCAATCCTCCTGATTTCCCTTTAGATAGATATTTTTAGAATGAATAACCTAGTCTATTGTTCTGTACCTCAGTTTTTTTAAAAAACACACCTAATTCTTAGTCTCATGATACCCATGAGGCAAGATTTATAAACAAGGCCTTCTGCCAGTGCCACATCAGGCAGAAGAGATGGCTGCAGGTGGCCTGGGCTCCTGGCCTTTCAGAAACAAGGGTGTAAAGGCAAAGTTCAATCTCTGGTACAGACACCCATCATGGGCCTGTGCTCCCCCTGGGGTATACGCCCACCCAACAGCCCTCCAAGTTGACCAGGGCAAGGAAAAGAGTAGAATGCCAGCAAGGAATACAGAAGAGCTAAGGCAAGGGCACCTTCCTTGAGCCTGAAGGTGTACAGTGGGATCCCGACAGTTCTGCTGCACCGTTTCCAGTATTACTGGGCAACAGGAAGATGACCTGTGGCACAGCTCTTCCCTTCCTGCCCATGCTGTTCTCACTAGCATGTGGAGACCAGGCTCTGATGGCCTTCTGAAAACTGAGACAAGACTATATCAAAACCCATTATTGTTGTGGTTTGTTTGTTTTGATTTCTGAGACAGGGTCTCACTATGCAGTCCAAGCTGGCCTTGAACTCCCGATCCTCCAGCTTCAGCCTCCCAAGTGCGGGGATTACAGGTGTGTACACCACACTAGCTCAAAAACCCTTTTTTATTGTTGTTTGTTTTCGTTTTGTTTGTTGAGACAGCATCTCACTGTGTAGCTCAGGTTGGTCTGAAACCCTGATCATCCTGCCTCAGCCTCCTGAGTGCTAGGATTACAGCTGTACATCACCACACCTGACTCAAAAATCCTTTGAAAAACCAGATGAAATGATTAATTCCTTTGTCCCTCTGTAGGCACTGAATAAGGTATAGACACTATGTACACACATTCTACAGGTCTAAGTTCCTAAAAGGCAAGAATTTTGGCAATTTTCTTTTTCAATGACTTGTCCAAGATCCCACAGCCAGGAGGACTGTAAGCACACAGGCAACAGAGGGCCAGCCACTCTTTCTCCATAAACAGTGTTCTGGC